GTCCAGACAACAAGGATGTCATCTATGTACCTTTTCCATAGAAAGACATGTTCAGTGTATTGTTTAAAAGTCTCTGACGCAACTATATTGCTCTCCCACCAACCCCGGTGCAGGTTGGCATAGGATGGGGCACAAGATGTGGTGCACCTGGTGGTAGAACTTATTTTGGAAGAGTAAGAAGTTGTGGGTTAAGATGAAATATAGAAGATCTAGGACAAAGTTAGTGTTGATCTGGTGATCTGGTGTTCCAGTTGGTTAACCATTTGTGAACAATAGACAGTGACTATTTCACCAGGATTCCTTTCAGATTTATTGATTTGAAATCATTGTCGTTAGACTTCAAAAGTTTCATACTGTTCAGCAACTTACAATCAGTTGGTTAACCCTTTGTGAGTAAAATATATCCTAGGGATATTTCTCTTGGGTGGGGGGTTACTGATTTCAATATATTGTCGTTTTATTGCATAGGTCCTATAGTGCTTAGCAATTACAATAGTTGGTTAACCCTTTCTGAACAATATGACTGGTGGCTTCAAAACATGGAGGCTTGGAATGGGAATGCTATATTCGGATGCCAACCCGATTTTATACTGGAGTCAGACGCCAGCCTCCTAGGCTGGGGAGCTACTTGCTCTGAACGCACGTTGCATATCAATTGCCTCAAACTGATGGATTTGCAGCTCCGCCAAGGATGCCTACAACTGTTCTTTGGTTTTCAGGATGGACAAGATTTCCGTTTCTGCGGGGTTTGCGAGCTTGCATAGCTGACTCAGAAATCCATGCCGTCGACAACCATGTACCGCTGCCTGCGTTCGGGAGACAAGATGGTCACCAGTACTGATAGCACGTGTGTTCATATATGCGAATGACGGCCACCCAGGGAAGCATTTGAGGCAATTGTTCGCTTGTAGTTAACAGCCAGGGGTGGTTGGTGATTACGAGGTGTTAACAAGGGGGACCACACATAGTCTGTTCTGTAACCGAACAGAAGGGAATGGATAGCCGAACACAAGGGAACAATTATTTGGTAGTGATTCCATTCAAATGCAGGGGGATATCAGACGAAACAAAGTACAAATAGGGGAACATGTACGAGGAGTCCCATCTCCTTTGACAGTCAGCAAATTAGTAAATAATTTAATTAGTAAATTACAAGCACTGAAAACAAATCTGATTAGTTCACAACAATGTGCAGTCCTTTCAAATGGATACAATATACTTGTTGTAAAAACAGTTTTCCTATGAATGGTTACTAACAATTGTACAGCAGAGGGCAAAGAGTAAAATCATCTGAAGTGTGAAAATGCAATTCCCAGAGAAGATGCTTGCTTGAAAAATGGAACAGCCACCAGCCCATTCAATCACCTTAAATAGATAGGACTAATACTGACATAGTGTTATACTGTTTATGTGAGAGTCCCCATGGTGTCCACTTTTCAAATAGTGTGCATTTACATAGTAATTAAAATATATAAACTACTAAAATGCCCTAAAATTAACCATAAACCCATCCTCAATTTGCTATTCAAAAACAAAAAAAATAAAAAAAACTGCATTTGGCAGGTTATAAATGTTGCTCTGTATTTTCACATAAATTGACATGGATATAACAAAGCACAATTTAGTGGCTTTTAATATGATAGCACATATCAGGTGTACATATTAAACTTCTAAATTGCAATATACATATAAAAAAATGTACAAATAAAATACCATCACATTTTTAAGATATTGGTGTCACGAACGCCCCTACTTGAAGAGCATGACGTAGTTGTGGTGGTGAAAGGGTTAAAGTTCACTATTTTTCTGCACTACACCGGAAATAATGGTAAAATCCCACACTTAACCATAATAATATAAATGTTACTATTTTAACACTGCCCCAACCAAGACAATTTATAAATGGGGTGCCTTGGTCCCCCAGATAACTTAATAATAAAAACCCACCAAATACAATTTAGCACAATATTTAAGCAATTGCAAAACACTAATTGGTCTCTTCAGGTAACGTGATTCTTAACCAGACAAAGGCAGAACTTAATAAAGGAATATTTATTATGAGCAAAAAATAGTCACAGTGCATACAAAAATATAGATGACAATTAAAATAGTAACACCAACAACAGATAAACACAAAATGCATAAAATAACAGTCTAATAACTTACTCAGGTTTTCAAAGTAAAACTTCTGCCCAGGAGGTCTCTGGTAAGAAAGATGGTGACTCACTCAGAATTCGATTCTGCCCCCCCAAGAAAGTACCAACACCTTTCAGAATCATTAGATATATACCCTGTGGATTACCAAGTCTTGCCCAGGGGTGGAGTTAAGGTGTACCTATAGAAACAATAAGTGACCACCATCTTGTGTTCCAGACAAACATCAATCCCATTTGGTTCTATCTCCTCTTATGTACTTGCCACAGAAATAATATTTTCATCTATCAATTTGTTACCATTTTTCCATTCCATAGATATGTTACAGTCCTTACTTGTGACCCAATATAGCGGACATCACAATCCCTTCCTGTATGGGTAAGTTACGCAAATCATGTTTAGGCTTGATTAGAAGACTGTACCCGTCCCATTCCAAATATAACAAAAATGAGGCTCAATTATTATTCCGTATTAATGTTTCTTTTCAATATGATACTGGAACACAGGGCTTGTTTTTCCCTTTTCTCTTGAAGGCTAATGATCATTAACATATCAAATAAATCAATTCATCAATTAAAAGGTACAGGCCATATGGCTGAAGTCAGCTAGTTTACTTTGGAACCAGACATCCAGGCATCTCACGTGTAGAATCTTACACCCTGCAGAGCCTTTGATTAATCAAAGGATCAATCCATGTTGCAAATCATCTACCCCCCTTAACATTCCTATTCCATTTACATTATCCCTTTTGTCATCTGATCTCTAAGTGGCCAATTCATATATGCACTACACAAATAACATTAAATGGCAATATTCTATTGTGCAACGATGAATTATGCACACTTGGCATGACACTGGTGCTAACATGGCTGTACAATAAGGATCACAATATACCATATGACATACTCCGTGGTGTCTACTTTCACAAATAGTATTCATTTGTGGGGTAATTTGAACTGTCAAACTGCTATAATACCTCAAACCGTGAGACATAGGTCCATCAAATCTATGTATCAAAATGCTAACTGTAATAAAAACATCAGCTCTCTTATATGGGAGAATTCTTTTATTTAGAAGAGTTTGCTTAGCATAATTTCAGGGGTTTACTCACAGTGGCACATATCAGAATTGCATAATGCTCAGTGAAAATGTAATATGTGTGTAAAAAGGCAAAAACATACCACAAAGTTTGACATAAACTGGTGAAAAATGGTAACATGTTAAGGCACGATATACACCATATAAGTAATGGTGGTAGTCTTAAACACAAGGTTTTGTGTTTAGGACTGCAACCACGCCAAATTAATCTCCCTGAATTGGGGTAAGCCGGTGAGAACTATAAAAGGAACTAATTTCTGGGCCTAACAACTAAGAGGCACCAAATAACTAAAGGGAGAAAAGTCACAAATTAAAAAAATAAATAAAACGTAGCTTTTATTAATCACCTAGGAGTAATAAAAAGCACTCATAACATGAGTGCAAACGTGAAACAAATATATACAGGGACACCAAGAAATAAGAGGAGGGATGTATCAGGATACAAACAAAAACAATAAACTAGACAAGGGGTACACACTAAAATGAAATAGCAATACCCTCAGAGGTCAGTTGGTGTGTTGCATGGAATGTATAAGAGGACCGAGTACCCAACGAACAATGCTATCTAGAGAAAGCAGTGACCTTCTAACACCCAGACTATATGTTAAGGCAAAAAAACAGCCCATCTTAGTAGGGAAAAAACAATCTAAAAAGAGAGAGAGAGAGATATATATATATAGCACTATTTAGTCAATATGTCATAAAAAAATACAAGAATAGTCAGATAATGACAAAATGTACACACACTTAGGGGATCAAATATCTTGATCCCCTAAATAATATCCAATAGTATGGAGACGATACTAGCAATATAAATAGTGATAATAGGAACTAGCCAAGCAAAGAAACCACAGCTTTAGAACCCTGTGTAAATGCTCCTATTTAACTCAGCATTGCAGATAAATCCGCTAGTACCTACCAAACCCTGCTAACCATAAGCCAAGAAACAAATCTCACATTACAGGGAATATTGTCCAAGAAATTTTCCAGATATGTTTATAGAACAGAAAGGATAAAAATAAGACACAAAAAAAAGGGTGTGGTGGGTGTGTGTGGAGTACAAGACTTACACTATGACTAAGGAACCCAAAGCTAGACCATTGTCAGAATATTTATATCGGCAGACATTTTGTGCTAAGATAGAAATTAAAAGGGTCTACTACCAGTCACACTTAAAACAGAGCGGACTCCATTTTGGATCTTAAGCTAAGAAGGACACATAATTTCTTGCTATCTGTAACTAGCCAAACAAGGCTGAGCTTAGGAATGCGTTATATAACAAAGGAATGAAGTCTCGGAAAGGATGGGGACGGAATACAACCCAGAGAGACAAAGCTATACATAATTATTATATATACATCTATACACTATACACTTATATACTATTATATTAATTACATATAATCAGTATTATGTTACTAATATAGACCATTCATGGAAAAATATTCATGAAGAAACATCATATAATTTAATAAATGTTAGTGGAATAGAAAAATAATCCTACACACACAGCTTCACAAAAGGACCAGACACAAGAAAGCCAGACACTAGTGATAGATAACACGTAGTAATTAATTTTACTTTCTAAATCTTACAAGGTCCCATTGTAAGAAATAGGGTGAAATTAAGGTTAGGGGGTGTCAATTTAGAAAATACAATCGAAATCATAGACACAAAGTCTGGTGTGAGCCTTTGAACTGGCAGCAAATTTGAGTTATACTGGCCATTTAGATAAGCCAAAATTATGTCAGAATCGTCATCAAAATGAGTTAACTCTTTCCTGGACAAGAAATTTTGGTGATGTAAGGGCGCTATCTACTGACCAAAATCTAGATGGTGGTCTGTGGGTTGGACACACCTTCAGTCTCCTATTGGCCTTATCAGATAATGACGTGCAGAGAGTCTGGCCCTTTAAAAAGTAAGGACAAAGGGAAGAGAAGGAGATTCACAGAAATCCAGGACAGAGATTGAGGATACACACTCTGGGACTTACACTCTCTCAAACGCTCTTTGACTCAACTTTCCAAACCAACACCACTTTCTCTATTACATACACACCTCCATACAATCATCAATCATACTTGCATTCAAATTCCTGGGACTATCTAATCATCGGATAAGAGCATCTGATAAGAACTTCTACAACATAACTGGTAATTATGCTGGTTTTATTTAATTAATTTAAATTAATTACAATTTTACATAGCAGGAATATATGCCTGGATATATTGTCAGATTTCAACTTAGAAATCTTAGTTAACTAAAGAATATATGGTTATAAAAATTCCATTACTGCAGGTGGAATTAACATTAACAATATATTAACGGTATTATTTACCAACAGGTTAGCATGTTATCCAGAAATATTGACTTGCTCTGAAATAAGATAGAAAATCTTATGTAGGGAAATTAAAATTCGGCTAATGTAAAATCTGGTAGATTATTTTTTTATTGGATGGTTCCATGGAATAGTTAATGGTTGATGATCAGCTATACATTGCTTTAATTAAAATTTGCAATAGAATAGGTTATTATATGCCTAGGAGGATCTAGCAGGCATTGAAAGGGTTACTCAGTTGATCTAACTGTTAGCCAAGATTTTACAACTTCATGTTACATATTATTATTTTATTATTATTGTCACAATAAGTTATATTTTTATTAAAAAATCTGTGATTTATTGTATGGAGTAAAATCCTCATAATGATCGTTCTCTAGGATCTAAGAGAATTAAAAATAGTGGGTAATTCTCGAGATATCAATTTTGATATAATAAAATTATTAAATTAATTGTTAAAAAAAATTATGAAAATATTATTTTTTATATTTTCGCCCGATAAAATATCCTCACACCATGGAGATTATGAAAAAAGATTATAAAGAGTGTCTGCTTTACTATTGATGAAAAAGAAAATTAAGAAGCAAATATACAATGAGGCGCATCCTACCAGTTTAATTGCACGTATTGGGGCTTATTATATAAATGATGAAAACGAAAGTACCTCATTCAAACCCTGAGGAGAAAGGGTATTTAATCGTAAATCCCAAACTACACCCTACAGCGGAGTCTCATACCCCAGTCTCATTTATGCTGTCGTTAAGGTATACACTCCCAGCCTATAAAGCGAATAAAAGCTGCTTTGTTGTTATGGTAGATTTTAAACGAACATTATAGGGTCAGGAACACAAACGTCCCCCCCCCTACCTCCTTAAATATAGTAAAATCTTACCTTTATTCCAGTCTGCTAGTGCTAGCTTTGCCCCTGATCTCCTTGTCTGACATCATCAGTGTTGAACTGAGCTAATCACAATGCTTTCCCATAGGACTGACTGAGACTGTCAAGGAGGCAAATCAGGGGCAGAGCCAGCACAAATCAAACACAGCCCGAATCAATGGATCTTCATGAGGAAAGTTCAGTGTCTCCATGCAGAGGGTGGAGACACTGAACAGTAATGCTGCACAATGCTGCAGAGGGTGGAGACACTGAATGTCAGTCACACAATGCAGCACTGCCAATGGATGCACCTCTAGTAGCCATCTGAGGAGTGGCCAGTGGATGTATCACTAGACTGTAATGTAAACACCGCATTTTCTCTGAAAAGACTGTGTTTACTGCAAAAAGCCTGAAGGGACTGATTACACTCACCAGAACAAATAGAATAAGCTGTAGTTGTTCTAGTGACTATAGTGTCCTTAATGTGTCTGGAAACTGGCATTCGAAAGCACTTTCTCACTAAATTCACATGTTCATTCCTTTATTAGGAACTTTCCTCTACACACAGCAATAAGATCTTTAGCAACGCCTGATACCTTATATGGTGGGATAAAGTAAATTAATTAAATTAGATAAACTAAATGGTTATCTTTTATCTCCTGGCGATTTTTGCTTCTCTGTGTAAAACCCCCCAGATTATATGTATTTCTAAATGCCTACTTAATGAGGGTGTTGAAAGCTTACTTTTATACATAGCTACGTTTATTCATCGTGTTGCGCTATTTCAATTGCTTTTGTTTGATTTGTTCATTGCAAACAGCTGAAAGTCTGTAAATATTGACAATAAACCTGATTGTCTCCCTGATTGCGGGTTGAATAATTTTGTTTACAATTGTATCTTGTACTTTGTCATAGGGGTGATTTGTCCCAAGAGTGTATTTCTCTTACACATTTAAAGACACATCCTATATTCCCAGGTTTGCATGTACAGTTTCACATAATACAACGTTTCCAATAGTAGGTACACTCTAGTAACACAAGAATATGAAAGATAGAGCAGCGCTGAATTTAAAGGAAAAGTGATTAGTGCTGCTAAAAACCACCAAGGGCACTGTCACTACATTACACCTAAAAACACGTGATCATACAAACAAATAAAGTGATTTAGCGCACATACAGTATATACTTGAGTATATGTCAAGTTTTTCAGCACATTTTTTGTGCTGAAAAAACCCCACTCGACTTATACTCGAGTCAATGTCTGTATTATGGCAACTTACATTGCCATAATACAGACCAAGACCGCCGGGCTGTTGGGGGCTGGCAGCAAGCTGTAACTTACCTTTCCTGCAGCTCCTGTCAGCTCCCTTCTCCCTTCTCCTGCGCTCTGGTCAGTTCCCCTGTCAGCTCCCACTGCTGGCAAAGCTCCGCGCGGCGCTCAGACTGAGAGACTTACAGTGGAGGAGAAGGGAGCTGACCGGAACGCAGGAGAAGGGAGCTGACAGGAGCTGCAGGAAAGGAAAGATACAGCTCGCTGCCAGCCCCCCTCCTACACAGCCCATCCACTGGACCACCGGGGAATGAGTGCCCCCCTCCCTGGCCAGTTAACAAGCAGGGAGGGGGGATGAAAATAAATATAAATAAAAATGTAAATACTATTAAAATAAAATATTAATACTATTAAAACTATTAATAATATATATAAAAAAATAATAATAATTTAAAAAAAATAATAAAAATGCCCACCCCCCACTAGGGCTCTGCACTCACACACACTGCATTCATACACACTCACACACACACACACACACTGCATTCATACACACACAAACACACTGCACTCATACACACACACGCACTGCACTCATACACACACACACACACACACACACACACACTGCATTCATACACACACACACACACTGCATTCATACACACACTGCATTCATACAAACACACTGCATTATATACACACACACTGCATTCATTATATACACACACTGTAAATAAATATTCAATTAATATAATTTTTGGGGGATCTAATTTTATTTAGAAATTTACCAGTAGTACCACCCTAGTCTTATACTCGAGTATATATGGTATATAGGAATGAATTTACCTTATGAAATATATAAACATATATAACACAGGTTCTTCGTTTGAAATTATTCTTTAACCTATATAAAATAGATATACATACACATAGTGTAATCTGTATTTACATGAAATATAATAAGTAGGAGTAGTCTGTAAACTTACAATTTTTTGAGCCTATTAAAAGTTGGCTCCAGACTTTTAGCGCATTTCATCTCACTCCATGAGAGAAGTAGAAAAATATATTGTGGCTGATACTACCAAGAATCTTTGTTGCTGATACTACCAAGCTCCTGAGTTAATCTTTGTTGCTGATACTACCAAGCACCTGAGTTCCTGTTGGTGTAACTGTCCAATATCTTTTTCTACTTATCTCCTGGAGTGAGATGAAATGCGCTAAAAGTGCAGAGCCAACTTTTTTTTTTTTTTTTATTCTTTATTTTTCACTCAATAGACATAGCAAGTGTACATCCACTTTTGGGCTTACACAGAAGCCAACTTGAATACAATTCTTGGAAACATAATGCAGTTCAACAAATACAATACATGCCCATTCCTTAAAAAACCATTGGCACCTGCCGTCTACTGAGGGTTTTATATTTTATATAAGGACAGGCATTTAGGCGATATAAGTAGCCCATTCTAATCAATAACTAATCTTACTCATGAGCTACCTTGTTCCTCCGACAGTGTGATCATGCCTGGAAAAAGAAAAAAGGCCTCATTCCAGAGAAAAACCAGGGGAAGGACCAAAAACAAACAAACAAAAAAAAAAAATGAGACAGGAAAGGTATGAAATTCTAAGAAAAAGGAAGAGAAAGAAGATATTTAGTCAGGAAAGGGTGCGCAAAGAGGAGAGAAGAGGGAGGGCTGGGAGGGGTGAGGCCCCCCCAATGACCACGCGATAATTATGTCCCTCGTAAGGAGGGGTCTTTTTTACTAATACGGGTCTGACCCCCACAAAAAACGAGCCCTATCAGTGTCCGCTCGAACCCACTAAACTGTTGTCCCATGGTTCCCAAGTTTTTTGAAATGCCGCTGTTGTCCCTCTTATCCTCGCTGTCAAGTCATCCATAATTCTACATTCTCTGATCCTAGATATTACCCCTGGGAATTCTGGGCCCTCTGGTGAGAGCCATGCGGTCGCTATTGCACGGCGTGCGCTCAGAGTTATCTTATGTACTAATTTCTGTTCTCTGCTAGTCAATCCGTCCAGTGATCTATTTAACAGGTAGATCCATGGGTCCATGCCCAGGGGCCAGTCGAACATCTGTTTCAAAAGATCCTCCATGGACCTCCAGAAGCTACGTAACTTTGGGCAGTCCCACCACATGTGGATGTATGTTCCTCGGGCTCCGTAACCCCTCCAGCAGTCATCAGTGTCCATTTTGTGCATTTTATATTGTTTTACTAGCGTGGTATACCACCTAAGCATGGTTTTCCACGTTTGCTCCTGGAGAGTGACACATATTGAAATGGTGGCATTTGCCTCCCATATCTCCTGCCACTCAACTCCCTCCAAGACCTCACCGAGTTCCGTCTCCCATTGATCTGTATATGTCAGTCTTTCCCATTCTCCATTTTCTGCACTAAGGTGGGCATATAAAAGCGTGATCATACCCTTGGGGGCTGCCCCGTCCAGGCAAAGCCTCTCATAGAAGATTAGCCTTCCCAGGGCTGCTGTTTTAATGTGTTGTCTTCTAGCGAAGTCATGGATCTGAACATATCTAAAAAAATCCATAGGGGTTAAGTGATTGCCTTGTTGGAGTTCTGCAAATTGGACGACCTCTCCATTTTGATATAACTGGTGGAGCCGTTGTAGTCCGGTTCTTTCTATATTTTGAAATTCTCTGGGAGCTATTCCGGGGAGAAACTCTCTGTTTATAAGTATTGGAGTCAGAGGGGAGGGGGACGATGCCAGCCCATATTTGGTATTACATGAGTACCATATTTGGATCGAGTTAAGTATGGCTGGACAAGTCACCCGTATCGCAGGTCTA